ATGTGTTTGCCAGCTTCCTTCATCTTTTGGCGTTCGATCATACTGTCAACATTTAAAATTTTTAATTAATTTAAATTTTTAAATACTTTAATCCAATTACCATTTCAACAATAATAACAAAAAAGACATTGATACTTACTAGAAGTACATATATCCACCCTTTGGTTGATTTCGACTCTCGGCCTCAATTTCAAAGTCATCTTCGCCACTAACAATTCTAATATATTTTGACTTCATTTTTCCTTCATATATCAGTTTACGCAAATCAAATCAAATACTGGTTACATACACTTTTTTCAATATACAAATATCGATAACTACTCTTGTAGTAAAACGGTTTCCTTCAAAAGAATTAGAATGACCACTACAACAAGTGTCACCACAATATAACATACAATATCATTTTCTACCTATAATATTATAAACAGGTGTCCATATTTATTTTCTACCTATAATATTATATAATCGGTCTCAGATCCTTCTTGGCTTCGATTTGAAATCCCCAAACCAAACCCAAAAACCCTAATCCCTATTTTCTTCAAACGAATAGGAACACTCAATACTCCAAGTATCAGGACATTTATACAACTTATGTTATCATTTTCTACCTATAATATTTAATAAAAGTATCGATATTTATATTTTACCTATAATATCACTTTCTATCTATAATCGGTCTCAAATGCTTCTTTTCTTAGAAAACCTCAAACAACACATAAAAACCCTATTTCTAATTACTGTAATAATAAAAAACTAGGGTTTCGATAACGTACTTTTCGATTCGACTGCAGCAACAAACAAACAAACTTCTCTTTAGAAACGTCTTCTGAAATGCAGCAACAATTACGCTTCGAATTCAAAAACTTGTCCGTGTTCTATCTATTTTTCAGAGGATATTTAGCTATGCACTTTATATTTTCACCGGATATGTTATTAATATTTAATCGATACAACTACCAAAGTGTCGATACTTTTATGTTAGGTGTCGATACTTTCGATATGATAATTACATATTTCTTTGAAAGTATCGATAATTTATTACACGTACTTATTAAAGTATAGACACTTTCAATATATCCGGTAATGCTTTACCGGTTTTGTCATTTCGAGACCGATTTTTTCATATTTTTACATGTTATATCATTATGGCTCGATACATTTTTATAAAGTATCAACATTTTATAGGCGCTATTACTGCTTCTCTTTTAAATTCCCAAAGTGTCTATACTTATATTAAAGTATCGACACTTTCAACAGATCCGGTAGCACTTTACCGGTTATGTCATATTTATACCAGTTTTGTCATATTTATATATGTTATATCGTTATGGATCGATACATTTTTATAAAGTATCGACACTTTATTGGCGCTATTACTGCTTCTCTTTTAAATTCCCAAAGTTTCGATACTTATATTAATGTATCAACACTTTCAACAGATCCGATAGCGCATTACCGGTTTTGTCTTTTCGATACCGGTTTTATCATATTTTTACCTGTTATATTGTTATGGATCGATACATTTTTATAAAGTATAAAAATGTATCGACACTTTATAGGCGCTATTACTGCTTTTCTTTTAAATTCCTAAAGTGTCGATACTTATTTCAATCTAATCGATACTTTCAACATATTCGATAGCGCTTTACCGGTTTTGTCATAATTAAATCGGTTTTGTCATATTTTTACCTGTTATATTGATATGGATCGATACATTTTTTATTTGGATCGACACAAACCGACAAGCTAAGTTTGTCGGTTGCCAAATTTTTTAATATTTCTTCATGATTTACATCTACTACATTATTATTACTCAACATTTCCGGTAGCACTAAACCGAATTTGTTAAATATCTTTTAATGTATCTGGTAACACCGTATATTAGCCCGTCATTCCTGAGACAACCCCAGGCTCAACCCCCACAACCTCAAAATGATTACACCCATCTTGTTATGGCATCTTTCAGATCAGGAAAGTAAAGTTCAGAAAACTAAAGCAGTTCAAAATGTGGTCCAACATGTAACATCCCAAATGAAAAATATAATTTAAAAAACATAGGCTTAATAATTAATATGGTGAGTAAGATATACATGTTGCTTTCTTGCAGAGCTCGAGAAGGTCCGAATCGGTGTAATAATACTAATGGTCAGTGGTAAATCATCCCATAAAGCCATGAACTCAGTCTACATGTTTGTCATTGCTTCATGATATGATCATCACATCGATAAAAGCAGCTCCAAAATCCTTTGCAATGGCTTCAGCATGCATGGTTTTTCCGATACTTAAGGGTTCATGCAAGGGAACGACCCATTTGGTGGTCTTAGCGGTAGAAGGAAACGTTGTTCTTCTTTATTTAACCGGCGACAACGTTATTCTTGATGCTGATAATCGATCGTCTATACTTTCTGTTTTTTTTTAATTTTCTGATATTGTATCTTTTTTTAATTTTTTTAATAAAATTGTTTCTATGACGCGTTTTCACATGTCTTTATGATACACTTTCGTCTGTTTTTTGACACGTTTTCGGTTGTTTAACTGATTTTTTCCGTTTAATTTTTTCAATGTTGGATTTGACGATGCATCGACTGATCAAGATGACACTTATTTATCATCATATTTGATCTTCCATGCTTTAGATTCTCGGAATGGAGTTAGATACGTGGTTTGTGTTCAGAGATAGTTTTGTCACGTCGCTCAATTATAATTTCCGATTGTCAAAGATCTTTCAATAGTTTAATCCCTTGTTGTGGTTCGTTTACTGATACAATCAAATCTGTCTGTATCTATCTCTTATTCGAGTTTTTAAAATTTTCTTTATATGGTCCTTATATGATCTCAAGTTTCTAATCTCTTGTGTTAATGGTTATATGGATATGTCCTAATTATATGTATATTGTAATATCAAATAATATTTTTTAATAAAACAAATTGCTTCTATTTGCATAAAAAAAGAATATCATAAAAATATTTAATAAAACTCGAATTACATTTTACATTCAAGTAAAATTAAATTATATACAAATCAAATTAAAAACATGTATGTACTAGATGCTTTAGTATTCAACACACATTTTCATTCAACTAGTAATTAAACAAGAATCGACATTTTATTATTATTTGTATTCAGACTTCAATTATGGTTTAATATTTTTAAATTATAGTATTTTAATTATCGAAATAATCGATATATTATAAATAATTAGTATATTCAACAAGTCTAATAAATTAAATTAATAAAAAGAAATAGATGGAATGAAGAAGAGATGGATACGTTGACTAAAATACTAAATAGACAATGTGTGTAACATTTCCAACAACTTAATTAGCTCGCCGTGTTGGACTATTTAATTATAGTTTTAATCCTCAAAGTCAAGTAGTCAACGAAGCAGCCCTGGTAAAAGTTTTAGATTAAAGTCTCATTCTATATAATTATTCTTTTAATTAACTAGCGGTATCTGATTCATCGATCTATTAATCTGGATCAAATATTATAGATGTGAAGATGATTATTCTAACCTAATTTACTTCATTCAAGAATATCAAAATATATAGTTGGAATTTATAATAAATAGTAATAATAATCCTTGAAGTTTACTAAATATTCTTTTATTAATATGGAGTAAGTACAAGACAATATATGTTTAAAGATAACTCTCAATAATTTAATATTGAACGCTTACCCTTGACATTCAGTGTTGAAACCCAAGACTTCTAGGTACAACAACAATTCTTTTACCGCTGACATGGTACGTACTCAAAGTTTACTATAAAATATGGAAGGACGGGAAATTTTGGTAACCGCGGGCAACATTGAAGTCATGGTTGGTGAGTTTTTGGACGAATTTTTAAATTGGATCTTTTAAAATATAGCAATCAATATGGAATTGGAACATTTTCCTGCCTATGCATGTTGTTTATTGTATTCATAGAATCAAGTTGGAGTTATTTAAAGCGTAAACTATAAATTTCATCACTCCATTTTAATTTCACCTTTATTTTGGTCACGATTTTAAGAAAAATCAATTTAATCATCGAATTGTCAAACTGCTTTTGTTTTGGTCACATTATTATTAAATACTTACTAACATTTTGACTGGACATCTTTCTTTTAAAATTATGAAAAGACCCTAAAAGTTTTTCATTTTTTAAAAAAACTCTTTTTCAAATTCCTAATGATTTCCTACCAATACGGCATAATATTTCAAATCTCAATAGTGGAAAGGTGAAGATGAGTCATATATCTTAATTTCACATTGATATAACGGTGGAGATTGTAGATCGATTTGATTTTGGGTTTCACGAGTTTTAAGTTTAAAATTGGGTTTATGAGTTTTAAAGAGATTTTAGGGGGAATATCAATTAATAGAGTGATAAACGAATGATCTGGCAAGTCTTCAGTGTATTAAGTGGTAAGAGAATATGTCAAAGAAGAACAAAACGCAGATTGACCTTGACAGGGTGTAAAACAAATGAATTAATAAATAAACTAATAAGAAAATGTAGAGAAAGAAGTTGCGCAACTGTATAAAACTACTGGATACATTTTTTTCAATCCAGCATGAAATTATATGGAAAAAGATAATTAATTAAATGCAGCTCAATGAACCTTGATCTTCTTTACCATATACAGATTTTAGAATGTATTCGATGCACGCATAAATCATATGTTAAGAATAAATCCCATAAAAAACAAGAATTGTTTAACTCAAATTTGTTGGTCATTATTTCTTTTCTCCAATCTGGGTAGAATTTTAATTATTTATATTGTAAATATTTTAGTTGATTTAATAAAAGTATTGGGTTGGAATCAAACTGGTCAAAAATATTGGCATTTATGAACAATTTGAGAAAAAGACAAAGACGAAAGCTAATACAACCATTTCCAACCCCTCACTTTGTTTCATCCCTCAACAATTTTCTTTTCAACTATATATATATATATATGAAGGCTGCTTCTTCTTCTTTCAAATTTTGCTGGGAGTTTGGGTTCATAGCCTTTTCTTTTCTGGGTATCCCGTAATAGCTTTGAATTGTAAGATTTTTTTTAGGTTGAAATTGTTGGTGGGGTTTTAAAATTTTAGTGGTTTGGTTGATTTGCAGTGGTGAGAAAAATGGTTTCAGGTGCAAAGACACACAGTTTTGAAGAGGTTGCAAATCACAACAAGATCAAAGATTGCTGGCTCATTATTTCTGGGAAGGTCAGACCTTTCTCTTCATTTGATTACTCATTTCACTGCGTATTAGTTATAGATACGTTGACAACTGATTTGAGTAGTTAGTAGCACGTGAACAATGGCAACACATGTTAATCCTAAAATCTGATTTTTTTTCTGATAGTTATTTATTTTGTTGATTGTATCCACCCTGAATTTTATTTGTGTATATTCGTACCAAAATTGTGTTGTTAATGCATGTGTGTCCATCCTACAAAAATATTTCGGGATCCGTTGATGGTTAAATTGCTACTCTGTAATCGGCTACATTAGATGAACAATTCCAGTTTTGTAGCATTATTAAACAACCCCTGGGTTTGGATGAAAAAAGAATCATGTTAACAAATATGCATCTTCTTCAAAAATGGGAGAACAACTAAATGTATGGAGTTGTTTGCTAAAGCAGTAAATAGTTGAGGTTTCCCTGTAATAGGTGTATGACGTAACTCCATTCATGGATGAGCATCCCGGAGGCGGCGAAGTCTTGCTTTCAGCGACGGGTACGTAAATCTTTTATATATGATTGTATTTGATAAATTTAGTAGGAAGATGATGATGATGGCGGTGTAACAGGGAAGGATGGGACAAATGATTTTGAAGATATTGGGCACAGTGATGAAGCTAGAGAAATGATGGAAAAATACTACATCGGTGTGACTGATTCTAAAACTGTCCCGACCAAGCGCACCTACATTCCGCCGCAAGAAACGCCAAACAACGCCAACGCTAAGGCCTCTGAATCACTGGTTAAGATGCTACGATTTCTACTGCCCCTCTTCATTCTCGGCTTGGCTCTTACACTTGGTCTCTACACCAAGAAAGACTAGGAAGGAAGTTTTTACTTTAAAAAAAGTGATGTTTTATTTGCCTTTACTGTCTTCAACATCATACTGGTTCATCAATTCATTTGTCCAAGATTATGGATTGGGACGTCCAAATAAAATTCAAAAAGGTATGAATCTTTCAAACGTAGGATTGTTCAGTGATAAATAATAATGCAGATTTTCATACTATAGTGAATTAGTAACAGAATGTAATAATTTATGGAACCTTGGATTGGTCTGCCGTATTTCTGCAAATCCAAATGAGAGACCAGATCAAGGACCAAGCCCCCACAAAGTAAGACAACACATCCAATGCTTTAACATAAACTAGAACAAACAATCCAACTGTAAACTTGTATTGAATCCATAAACATCAAACTAAATAATCCAACTAACAAGAACCAATAACACAAATATGTTTTACGGTTGAGAATTTAAGATAATGATTTGTATTTATGTCTGGTTTCAATATGAACGTTGCTCTGTGTTTCTCACTTCTCAGTGGTGGTTTATGTGAAAGAGTTGTTTTGAGACAATAATCTTTTAAAATAGTCCATAAGGTACATTCTTTTTCATGAAGGGAGCAAATAATAATATCATTTCCATTAAAATACCTGAGAATGCATCCTTGGTCCTGTAGCACTGAGTATGAAATGCTAAATTCTACATTAGAAATGACATCATATCGGGTGCAAACTTCAGAATAAAAGATTTAAAAATTCAAAGAAGAAAACTGCAACTAAAAAGGTTTTCCTTTTTTATGGCCAAAAACAGAAGGAAACTGCAACTGCAGACAAACACATTACAATCTAGCACAAACTTAACCTACGAAGCCCCCACTTTACGACTAAAAGCCTTTGCATATCCATTCAACTTAGTAACAATAAACTCCGAACAGATTAAGCATGGTTTCAGTGATAAAACAATAAACTACAAAGATCATACTTCTTTGGTTATACCTTCGACAGAAACCCATCAAACGCTACCTTCTAGTTACTGTCATCATGATCCTTAGGAACAACCCTTTTATCCGCCCAGGAAATGTGAGGTTGACCAATCCACCAGTTTCATGAGAGTTCAATTTCTCATATCCTCAATTATCATAACAACCATGCAAAGCCTAGCTCCAGACCAAAAAAATAAGTTTTATTTTATATAAATATAATGTAACAGGGGAAAACCAACCCGGGGATGTAGCTCATATGGTAGAGCGCTCGCTTCGCATGCGAGAGGCACGGGGTTCGATTCCCCGCATCTCCAGTACCTTTTAAAGTATTCCTTTTTTTTTTCGTTTTGCCTTCTGTTTGGTCTAACGGTGAGGTGGCTTTTACAACACGATGTGGAGGAGAGACTATAATAACCCTATAAACAAACATACACCCAAAAGCCCTAATCTGCAATAAACCCACGTATATAATAACTTAAACTGGAAGGCTTGGCTGAAATAAAGAGAGACGCGAAGTTGTGAAAATGCAGATCTTCGTGAAAACCCTGACGGGGAAGACCATAATCCTAGAGGTTGAATCCAGTGATACCATTGACAATGTGAAGGCTAAAATTCAGGATAAAGAAGGTATTGCTGATCTCCTTTTCTTCTAATTTTTCTCCCTACCCACTTTAGGAATGTAATTTGTTTTCGATTTTATTCGTGGATTTGACGGCTTATATTTTCCGGTTAAATTTTTATCAGGTATCCCTCCAGACCAGCAGAGGTTGATCTTCGCCGGAAAGCAGCTTGAGGATGGCCGTACTCTTGCTGACTACAATATTCAGAAAGGTAAATATTGGTTGTTATGGCCTCTAATTTGATTCTCGAAAAAAATTGACACAGACAGAAGATGTTAAAAGTATTTTGATTTATTATGTTCCGCATTGAACTGTGAATCGAAGGCGTGGATATGTTTAGGTAATGTTTACCTATTGATAAAGTGATAGAAGTAGCCGAATATGAATTTATTGCACTCATTAGAACTAAATATGTTAGGTTTTGTATAGCTTTAACTTTATTTAACATTATTTAGATAATTTTGTTGGGTCTCTGTGATGAGAAGAAAATGGTCTCATGTTATCTCCATTTTTGTTCTTTGAAGTACTGAAATTAGGGTGGAAATTGGGATGTTGACTTGAAAGCTTGAACTATGCTCTCCCCCTAATTTTTGTTCTCTCCATTTTTGTGTAGAGTCAACCTTGCATCTGGTTCTGAGGCTTCGTGGTGGCATTATCTAGCCTTCTTTGATGGCATTGGCTAGGAAATACAATCAGGACAAGATGATCTGCCGCAAGTATGTCTGCATTATCATGTTGCCCATAATGTTAATTGTTTAGTAATCTTAGTTTACGAAGTTCATTTGAAATGAATTGTTGCTCCAGTGGTTCATTTTGACGTTTAGTTTTAGCGATAATAACAAGATCCATTTATTTAGGAAATGATCTTTTTATTAAAATTTCTTGCAAACTGACCTGATTTGTTATTATTCCCATGCCTGCATAGTGCTACATACTATATTTGCTATCTTAATCTCCTTTTATAACTTCAATAATTTCTTTTTAGTTTCCTCTCTTGGGATGGAATTAAATAATTTAAACTAGTACATATGTTTAATTCATTGAAAGCAAAGAGATTCTTCATTCAATACCATATACAATAGAATACGGAATTGAAAGGGTAAATAACTTAATATAGTTTTAATAGTTTGTTCTATAATGCATAAATTTAAGTTAGAAAAAATGTAATAAATATTTTTAAATTCTAATTTAATTTAACATATAAATATATAATTTTAGATATCTAATTAATTTTTGAAAAATCTTGGTTTTGATGAGGGTGAAGAATATCTTATTGCCACATAGAAATATTACATTATCAAATGGCATGCTTTTTGTACGGAAATCTTGTCTGATTGTCACATCCATAGTGAAAATTTACCGAAGAACGGGGTATCTTTGCTATAGGTGTTATGCTCGTCTGCACCCCCGTGCTGTAAACTGCAGGAAAAAGAAGTGTGGACACAGCAACCAGGTAAACCATCTATGCCCATCCCATTGTTCCGTTCGCACGAGCAGCTACTCTAAAGGACATTTTTGTAAACCTCATTTGAGTTTGTGGTCTTGCTATGCACCTGACTGACATTTTCTTTTTCTTGGTGAATGGCAGTTGAGGCCAAAGAAGAAGATCAAGTAGATGCATGTCTTGAGGCAGGAAATTATGCTTTTACTATTATTAGATTTTTGGATGTTTTGTTAGGACGGTATGGTTCTAAAGATCTTGAAGTTAGCTTTACATGCAGCTTGAAACTCGAGTGGTGATTGTGTTTCTTTTCGACCTTGACAATAGTTGTTCATTTTTTATAAGATTATGGTGTTTTTTTTGTCTTGTGTGCGTGCTGGTGCTTTTGCATGCAAACAAAGCATTCCAGTGATTATTATCATATCATTTTCACTTTTACCTGTTTTTCATTTGATTAAGGTTTGTTTGTTTTTTATTGATATAATGTTGAAAAATACCTCTTAACATATTTTATTGTCATAGTTATATTTGTAATTTTATAGAATTATTAATTTAAATACAGTTATATTTTTAATTTTATATAATTATTAATTTATAATACTCCAAGGATCATAAATTTATATAAGGATCTTCTGAAAAATTATCTTATTAATATACTGAAATTATTTATTTAAACATGGGACTCAAATTGAGACAGATTATTAATTTATCGAATATTAATTTATAAAAGTTCACGTGTATTTAGATTGTAATATTGATTAGATATGTGTACATATAAAAAGTGATTATGTATTATATTATATTATATTAGTAAAAAAAATTACTTTGTCACAGTCAATCAAATTATGAGAATTGAGGATAAAAGGAAAAACTATTTAGTCACGGTCAATCAAATTATGAGAATAAAAGGAGAATATATTTGATTGGGTGGTCAAATTATTCATCTATATTTCTTATATTCTCTTAGATCTTGGTTCTAGACTTATTTTCCCTCCTTCTCTTTCTAATTTAATGATCAAAATAAATATTAGGTAGTAGTTGGATGATGAAATGCAGTGTTACCCTAAAACATAATAGAGTAAATTACATGTTTAGTACTTATGTTATTAATTTTGGTTGGTTTTAATACTTAAATTTTTAAATTTTTTTAAAATCATATCTAACGTTTAGTTTTTGTTTCATTTTAGTACATTTACCATTAAAATTTTAACGGACGGGCTCGCCAGCCGTCGCGTTTATAGTCGTTGGTCGTCGCACCGTCGGCCGATGAAGCCCAAATTTTACAACCTACACCTTTTTGACCCCCTGAATGTGATTTCGGCCTCTGTTTCACCGAAAAATGCCTTAGTCTCCCCCAATTGATGATGTGCACTTCGACTTCTTCATCTTCCGATCTTATCGTCAACTGTCTGATGAACCTAAAACTGGACTATGTTGGTTTACTCATCATTCTCTAGCAAAGTGAATAAACCCAAGCTCATTAGAAATGATTTTCATTTGTCCAGACTCAAATGATGCAACACAGACCTATGTGTCACAGTGACCAATAGCCACAGACAGTATAAACTGAACCCGATGCAACAATTTCAATGGCTTCAATCCAGCAATCACTGCCGCATCCAAATAAGCAAGCCTCTGTAAATCAGTGAAGTAAGACGAAATCTCAATTCCATAATCTGAAATGACCATTTCAAATTTTTTTTCTAAGCAATCTGCTTGAAATGTGAAAGCACCATCCCCAAAATCTATACGTTTCATGAACCTAACCAGATCAAAATTCAATCATAAGGGGTTTCGAATTCTAAAAGTATGACATATAACTCTTTTCGAAAGTTAACACATTTCCAAATTTGAGCCACTGATTGACCTCAAACAATGTATGAATACATAAATTTTAATATTGTCATGATAAATTTAATTGCTTAGTGCCTTGTCGGATTACGAGATTGTCTTCATGTCTAAGTTGTCACCCATCCTCTAAGATACGAGAATTTGTTCAAGTTTCTTAAGCTCACTTAACTAA